CAGGGATTTAAAAATGGCGGCGCCCAGTTTATGCAAATGAAGCCCGGGAAATTCAAATCCCGGGCTTCATTTGCAAGTGCGGTATGCCTACATTACCCCGCTAGTTCGAACTAGCGGGGTAGTGTAGACATACCCTATGAGAATAAAGACAGCTCTGGAAATGAAACAATGTCCAAAAGAAATTTTCTAATTGAAAATCCAGTTACTAAAAAAGTGTGTTAGTTCATACAGTAACTTCCTCCAATTTACGTAACAAATCTCCCCCAAACAACATGTAAGACTTTGCTTATATCCAAAATACACACATTCCTCACACCACTCAGAAGTAGAAACTTTTTCTTTATAGACACTAGTGACTACTTATCACTTGGAATATTTTTACAATGTTTAGTTCAGTTCAATTTTTACATTTTTGACTCCTCTTCACGCATGACTAAAGTTATAGGATATTTAATATACAGCACTAGGAGGAAAATCACTTCTCAGTAATGAACTTATAAAATAAAGTACCATGGTAGTAAGCCAAAAAGCTTTCATATTTTATTCAATAACATTTCAACTTCCTCTCATTATCTTTAAGGGACTGTATTAGATTTTACACAGTGGGCCTAGTTTTGCTCTCACTTACACTGGTATGTAGCAATGATATAACAATGACACTTGATTGAAATCAGCAGAATCACTCCTACCTGAAATGGGTGCAAGCTGCAGCAGAGTCAGGCCCCTTCTGCCTTTATAATAGAACTATATGATGTAGATAACCCTTCAGATGCTTGAGTCATTGTACAAGGATGTAATGCTCGGAGTAATCAGATTTGCCAACTCTGACATATGAATATGCACATATGTTCCCAGCACAGATATTAAATTAAAAACTTAATGCTTTAGGGAATTTCATTGATTTTATTCAATTTCTTGAATGGATCTATGTAAGCATGAGGAGAATAAATCTGAAAACCTAGCTCAAAGTGACTCCACAGATATTATTGTGACTGTTCACAACCTACAACCAATTGCTGCCACATGCTGAATTGGTAGCAAGTTCTCTTATTGTTATGCTTTATTACTTCTTCATAAAGACATCCCCCTTCACAGCCATTGTTATCATTATAGGATAACATTAATTCCCTGTAGACTTAAAGTTGTCTACAGCTTTACTGAACATTTGCTTTCCAGTTGTAAATTACTATGGGCTTTACTCACCTGGAATAATACATGGCTCTGAGAGCCACATAAACGCGCAATCTTGGTTCTAGTTCATCAGAAATTCAGTAAATCCCAGGCAAACCTTTATTTTTGTTTAACAGTTCAGACAGCAGATCTCTGATCAGGGGTTGAGAGTCCATACCAATAACCTCTCCAGAGTCCAGTCAGTTCTTTGCTATATTTATTAGTGTGAAGCTAATTGTTAGCAAGGTGCTTGCCCCACTCACTAACAGCACGGTACAAAGTAGTCAACAATTTTGTAAATATAAGGACTTTCACGTACATGAGCTTATGGTCTCCACTGTTCTATGGTGCAGAAGGGAGCAGGCTTGCAAATAAACCACAAACCTCAGCAAAATCCCTCTCCCTTCCTCAGTGAGAGCTCAGCCATCTGCAGGAATAAAAGGCACAGAAGAGGCCAATAACTATTTAATGCAGTATATTCCCCTTTTGGGGATGCATAAATTGCAGTTCAATCTACATTATAGATTACCACTTATGTGTGTCAAAGTGGTAAAGGGAAAGTTAATCTAGTATATTACAGAGAAGTTCTTCTAGCATGGCAGATGAGGGACCTAGCCTACAGCAGAAAACAGATCTATGCTATCATTCTTCTATGGAGCCTTGACAACAGGCAAGTGGAAATGGATGAGCTCAGATCTTCCATAACTATTGCCTGTAGGTATCTCCGCTTTCCACCAGAATTGATGTGTGTTCTCTGCTGAGTATTCCAGCCTCTGTCCTGGAAGAGCAGCACCATACAAGGTACCAGGCATCTGCTGTAGTAAGTTCTGCTCAGCCATATACTTGCAGATGCTAAGAGGGAAGAGGACATTGTCACCAAGGAATTAGCAACTTGAGTTTCAGGAAAGGTAGCACATTGTCATGTATGCACACACACACTCTGCCTCTTCCCCTGAGTGCACTCT